TTAGCAGAAATCATTTCTAAGGATTTGTATCTAGATAAGAAGCTGGCACTAGAATGCAAATCAGCTATATCACTAAGTACAGTGTAGTTCAGCTTTTTTTTTCCATTTCAAAACTTTTTTGATGTAGCAGGCAATGTGCTCTATTTTAATCTAGCTCCTTATCTCATCAGAGACCACATTCTGTAGAGTAATATCATTTATTGAGCAGTTAGTTAGAAAATCAAATTTAATGGGGAGAACTTTATACAGTAAAGTAGATTCTAGATGGTCTTCTAGTGTTAGATGCCAAAAGAGAGAAAGACAGAGAGAGAGAAGAAAATATAAAACAACTAGACAAAAATGCATTTTCTTACTTTTAGAATGCAGAAGCAGTTCTAACTGAAAAAGCTATAAAAGAAATAATGGAAGAAAATATGAGATTTGACTATTAAAAATATCTTCAAGTCAAAGACATTAAAAAACAAGGGAAATTAAGAAAGAGAACCAGGAAAATCTTAACAATATATTTAACCAAAAAAGAATGTCAGTATCAAAAGAACTCCCCCCAAAATCATCTCTATTAGCTTTACTTTAATAACAACACTTGGCTAAGATTTTATGAGACTGAATTAGATTTGAATACATAGTATTTAGTGCAATGCCTTCTAATAAAAGTTAGACAGCCATTAGCAACCTAATATAACCATGATATTTTGACTTTAAAAATATTATGCAATTGTGCAGTAAAGAGCTAACTCCATGAGTTTCGGTGGTCCAGAACTTGCATATTTCAAACAGAGGTCTGGTCCTTGCCTGGCTCCCAGGAGGCAACCTCTAAGCCTATGGAATATCTTGCCTGATAAGGGTATCTTCGTTCACCTGGGAGCCCTGGGACATGTCAGAGAGTTGATACCAACAATGTGATTTGTGGAGGGGTATTTGGGCCAGCTTGACCTTTGGAAGTGATGGGGGCTGAAGGTCATCCTTGTGGGTGGTCAGCCACCACACATGACCAGACTCCAGGATAAACCCTAGATACCAAGGCTCAGGTTAGCTTCTCTGGCTGGCAAGGCTCTGTGTGTTTTCACACATTACTGAGAGAATGAAGCACTGTTTGCACAACCCCACTGGGAGAGGCAACTGGAAGTTTGTACCAGGTATGTCCTGAGCCCTACTGAGTCTTTCCAGCAAATCACTGAACCCAAGATGGTCTTGGGAACACTGTACCCAAAGACACTAATCTAATGACAACTAATAATCAATAATATAATCAATAGTAAATGACCACATGAAATCTCTTTAATTATTCATAAAGATCATATAAAATATAATAGGTATGTATATACATATGCACTTAACCAATCCTGTCAAATTCATGAACCATTTCCTAAGGTATTTTTTATTCATTAAAATTAAGTTTTGGCTTTCATCACAGTAAACTAATCTTCATTAGTTTCATTTGTATCTTATTCATATAAACACATTCAATACCAATAAGAATATTCTGTTGTTGAAACTTTGGATTATGAGAAAGATCATCACTCCCTTGACCTATTGTTGAGAAAGGAAAATAATTTTGAAAAGGAGTCAGAAAACATTGGTATAAATCATTCACTTCCTCTTTCTTGTTGTGAATTCTTACACTTGTGTATATAAATAAATATTTTTCAAATTGGTGATTTCCCAAAAGAATATTCAATTTTTTCAGACATTGTTTAAGATTCCTTTGCAATAGTAAAGAAAATATTTTTGTGTTCTCTTCAATTACTCAAATTCCTGACCCCAAGAGTCAGTTACTTAGTGGCTTATATTGACTTTTGCAATTATATGTGGAGTTGCTCTGGGAATTTCTAGAAGTCAAACTCAAGGCTACAAATATAAAGGCACTCATTCCAAACAAGTTTAGAAACATTTCGTATGTGATTATAAAGGTATTCTTGAATTGACAAGTTTAAATGGAATCATTCTAACATTCTAAAATTGTGGGTTGCAGAATTATAGGATCCATTTTCTGCCTATAGGAAATACATTAGAAAAAGGCATATTAAAAAAAGAAAAGAAGGAAAGAAATCCAAGAAGAAGAAATAAAAGAATTTAACTGTTTCACTTAAATAGTTGACCTTTAATTATACCCATAAGTAAAAGAGCTCTCTTAACATGTGTGTGTGCATGTGTGTGTGTGTGTGTGTGTGTGTGTGTGTGTGTACACATACAGGATCCATATATATGATTGTCTAACATCTATGAAAACTTTCCCCATTCAAGAGGCTATGTGTATGTGAACATTGCTTTTTATTTCCTCTTCCTACATTTTTCTGCCATTATGGTCTGTCTTACATTGCATGATGGTTGATGATATAATTTATATAGATGAACTCCCTCCTGTTTGTCTGTTCTTCAGAAAGACACCATATTTTCACTGCTAGTGTCTCCCACTCTCTAGCAAAAAGAAAACATCAGCCTCTGCTTTTGAGACAAATATTGCTTACTGGTAAGAATAATTTTTAGCAACTAAGTAGTTCAACATATATCAAGTGTCCTGGTCTTAATCCATCAAGCATTACACATACCTCTGGCACATCTCTATTGATTTTGGGTGCAGTTCTATAAAAGTCAGATAAAATAATATTTTACTGCCATTTTAGCCATTCCAATCTGAGTTCCTGGTCATAAACCAATGTTTCTACTACATAAAAGCTGAAGTGGCCTTACCTTCAATCAGATCATTTAGTTTCTTGTTTAAGTAGTTGTATGTTCTTGAACAAGCCTTTGCATGTTAATAAAGTAACTTGTATTGTGATTGGTTCCTCTACTTAGTTTTTAATTAGAATACAATGTTTTAGAATACAACAGAGAGTGAAGAAATTAATTTTACATATCTGTTTCTGAAAAGTAAAATTATATTTTAAAGTTAACTTTCTAGTATTCTGTCACTTGATGAAATTATGTAGCATCTGTTTCATAAAAATGTACTCAGATTGCTTGTATATTCAAGCAGTTAATGCATAGCTACAGAGTGAAAATTATAATTATTGAGAAACTTGCATTGTAAGAACTGTATTTATGATTAATTTGCACCTATTATCTTAATATTTTCAATAACTTTTTCTTGCCTCTAAACATTATTCTCAGTATTCTTCATTTAAGTGATGCACATGGTTTTTCCTAGTATGATTAAGCTGAAATATTTTTAAACTATGAAAATTGTATTGGAATTAAAAATGTAAATCCTATTGTTCCTGGGGTGCAATATTGAATGAGGTTTCTTCATTGCATCTTTCCTTAAAGAATGGTTTTAAAGTGTATTTATCTTTTTTCTTTCCTTTCTGAATAACAAACTCCTTGTATTCTAGAGCACTTGACCGATTACTGAAAGCCTGCATGGTATAAAATAAAAGTATATCCACACATTTAAAAACAATGATAGCAAAACTCAAGCACTGTTGATCATGTTCTATTTCTTGGAGTAGGTAAACGGGCACATGGGTATATTCAATTTGTGATAATCCACTGAGCTGTATAATTATGACTTAATTTTCCTATAGTTTACTTGAATAAAAAAAAGTTTTTTTTTAAATCAAACTGTTACGTCTTACATAAATTTTCTTCTAAACTTTCTTATACCAATCCAATTGCACTGCCAACTCAACTTTACTCAATTGCCTGCAGAGTCCTGGCTTTTGAAGAACATGAAGCGTACCTGGCATACAGTACCTAGTGCTACAGCCTGTGATGAGCTGGGAAAGATGGGCCTGGTCTAAAGGGTACAGATGCTACTCAGTTCTGAAGAATGGCTGCCATGTGGGACTGTGGGTCTAATGTTGCCAGGTCTGGAAATTTCCATTTTTATGTCAAACTTATACTTTTTAATGTTGGCAATGGATTCAATATTTTAAATACTACTGGCCAAACTAAATATGTCTTTGACCAAAGAGGCCTCCATAAAGATCGCCTCCCTCAGTAGGACCTCACTAAATCTGAAACCAATTTAAATACTCTTCATTTGAACTACCTAGCACGTAGGGAAGCCTGCAGTCAAAATTCTGAGTTCCTAGAAATTTCTACTAAAATATACTTCTGGAAATATGTGTACAGTTCTATGTAATTTGGATCCCAAACCCAACCTTATAACACAGGTAATATCCTCATTTTATTGATAAGGGATCTAAGGCCCAAAGACAGCAGATAATGTAGAAAATCAGAAAAGTAGGACTTGAGTTAGATGACTTGAGTTTAAATCCTTCCTCCAGCTTATTATTTTTATACTTTGGGATAGCAAATGAACATCTCTCTACTTCAGTTTTCTCCTCTGTAAGATGGGTAAACTCTAATAGCACTACCTCACAAGAATGTTGGGAGGTTGTATAAAGCATATAGAAATGTGCTTGGAACATGGTAAGTGCTCCAAAAATGTTGCAATCACTAATTATTATTGCCATTAATATTATCTGTAGAACTGTAGAACGATATCATTGCTTTTTTATGAATTTTAGGTAAACTAATATATCTAAAGTACTTAGAATTGTGCCTGATGCATAATTAATGTTCATTACATATTAATTATGTATGCAATTTAATTATCTTTCAAATACACTACTCCTAAACCATGCAGATTAATTTCTTGTGTTGACTAATAACAAACAGGTACTATTACAGGCTGGAAGTGCTTGTACTTGTAAGTGTTTTCCTTTGATTTCTGAATGATAACATACTTTTGTAGTACCATGGTTACATTATTACAATGTTTACTTCATTGGGAAATGAGTAGTGAAATGAATTATGTGCCATGTAAACATTCTCTTGATGAGGATTTTAACAATGTAATAAGATTTTATTCAAAGTATCAGGAATGGTTACAACATCCAAAAAATATTCCTTAAATTTACATGATCTCTACTTCATTTCCCTAATTTTTTAAAAACTTGAGGCCAAAGAAGAAAATCAAAGACACGCATTTAATTCAATAACTTACACACAAATTTATATGCTAATATATTAGGAAAGCCAGAATTTTCACTTACTTGTGACCCATTTCATGAGCAATTGTAAATGCAAGATTTAGGCCATTGTCTTCAGCGATAATACATTTTCTCTTTTCACTACACATTCCACTCAAGTAAGCTATACCTAGAAAACATTAATTACCATATATAAGAATTAAAATGTAAATATTTATGCTAGGTATTAGTAGAAGAATATGTCAACATTAAAGTGGTATCTGGCCCTTATAAATGTATAAGTTGCTCAATAAACTACAAGTATTACTTTAATTTCCTATTTTAGATGAAATTATTTTACCATAATCCAGTTCTCAAAAGGCACACTATAAGAATATATTCTATAAATACCATTTCATTGACATGTAAGATAAATGAATAGTTGCAACTTAAAAAATGTAAATTAAAAAAACAGCAATTATGTTAAATATTTTTATTCTTGTTAAGAATCTAGGTTCAAAGATATATTCTAAAATAAACTATATATAGAACATTCTTGAACTTAGATTGATATCTTAATAAAATTTTGAAATTTATTTTGTTAAGTACTATTTTAACTGATACAACATAAAAATTATCTGTGATGTTCGGTAAGTTGAAAATGCTTCCTTTGAAAACATCTTGCTTAGTAAGATGGTCCACCTACAGAACATGATACTGAAATATTATGTAAGATAAAAACTTCAGCAAGATATTTGATCTTTTGGTTTAATTATCAGTAAGGATGATAATATTTGGAATCGCTGATATTCTTTAGCCAAAGATTTATGTGCTATTTGACTACTTAAGATACATCCCTGAATACATTTTATTTAGCACAAGGAACTGCATTCTTTAAGCATGTTTTGATGCATTTTCAAATAACAAAAGTTATAAAACAATATCTAGTGTTTACTAAAGTAACTATGTTCTCTAATTCTCATACCCTCATAAAATATATTTAAGCTCATTTTATAAAAAAAATTAAGGCCTGGACAGGCAAAAAGATTTTCCAAAAATCATATGATTAACAAATAGGACAGAACAGGGATTTGACCCTGATATTGAACCAGTGACCCACTAACTTTTGTTTTGCTTCTGATTACAATTTAGTGCAGAGTTGCCCGTAGTTAAAGATGGTTAGTGACTGCTTATGACTTTTTCCCCATTCTTCAGAAACTTAAAAAATAATAAGGAATAATTAAATGTAAATAAAAGAATAAATCACCTTGCCCACATTTTGCAAAGACAGAAAATTCATGGAGGACCATAAACGAGGTGAGTGGAACCACAGCCCAAACAATGGGAGAGAAGGGTTTTATGGGCACGGTAGAACCCTAGAGAGCTCGAGACTGAGGCACAGGAGGTTTGAGGAAAGGAACTGCTGAAGGACTGAAAAGGGAGATTAGTGGAAAGTGTATCTGAAATCTTTACTCATTCAAACCTTCATGCAGAATGTCAAGGGCTGATACCACTGGCCTATCAGAAACATGGAGGTACATCTTTTAAGCAAAATGTGGTAGAAACACATTATTTTAAACATATAACTACAAGAAGAAACAGCCAAGAGATGAAATTTACATACAGATGTTATTTTTTTCTAGATGTTTAGGAATTAAAAGATTTTATAGAAATTACAAATAGACAAACGACTTCTTTATGAATGGATGGACAGATGGATAAATGGATGAGAAGGCAGATGATAAGCCCTACTACTTCATTGGCTTATTAAAGCAACTGAAATTACTCCAGGGTTCAAGCAGGTGAAATAGGAGGGAAAGTAAAGGTGGTGATAAATAGGGAGGGCTTGCGAAAGGGAAGAGGAGGAGAATGAAACCATACTCTGGGACCACTAGAAAACAAATGAAAGAAAAACTTTTAAAAACTCTTAAACATAAAGTGAATTTTAAAAGAGCTTAATCAAGTACTTATCAATACAATAAAAAATGGAAAACAAAGATTTGGGAGTAATTGCACTCATGTTATAATTGAAGGGAAGAAGGAAAAATGGACAATGGAAGGAGGGTAGAAGAAAAGCGTCACCTCCTAGTAGGGCATTAAAATTCTCTTGCACATTTGAAAATTTAAAAATACATATATAATTGAGATTTAAAGTCCCACAAAATTACTATAATTTTCTATAGTAAATTTTCTATAGTGAAATTTACTATAGTAAAATTCAACTATAACTAGCATGCCAATGGCAACCGTTTGACATAAAATTTCCCTTAGGATACTGTTTTGTTTCACAACTAAAATACTCCCATCACCAAATGCTGATTTAAACTCAACTAATGTGGGATGTCATCATGTCAAATATCCCTCTGCTGCATGGACTAGTGCATATCGAATTTAGTCACTTTACTAAGTTTTACATTTATTCGCCTTCAAATCCATTGTTCCCAAATAGAAATAATATTCTCACTTATTTCCAGTTCTTATCTATTCTGTATTCTTCTTTTCTATCTTTAGGTATTTTTTCCTGTATTTTTCTGTAATCTTACTACACTAAGATTTCTAACATACTTTTGAAATATATGTGTGATGTTGAGATCCTTGTTTTCTTTGATGACTTTAATAAAAATGTCAGTTTCACCATGTAACGTGATTACTGTAGGGCTTTCATAGATATAGTTTGTAAGCAAAGGAAATGACTTTCTGCTATTCTTGTATGACTAAATGAAAGAGGAGGCAACAATTATCTGATGCATGGGTCAAAGGTGGAAGGGAGAGTTGAATAGTATTTTTTTGGAAAAGGAACAAAAGCTTGTAATAGCAACAGAAAGATGGGGAAGAGAGCGGATTAAGTACCACGGAAATACTTAATATAAATGAGTCAGAAAACATGGTCCAGCTGAGGATGGAGATCACGAGCCTGGAGAGGCACTAATACGCCCAGTTGAATGATATCCAACCTAATGGCTGAAAGAGAGAAGAGTGATATTTGGATTAATCTGGGGAAGGTTTTATAGATCAGGAGTAAAGAAAGAATCATGAGGCATAAGGGTTGACAGTAAACCTGAGAGTGAAAGAAGGGAAAGAACTTATAGATACTATGCTGTGTCAGTAAAAAAGTAAGGTCAAAGGGAGCCTCATAATTTGAAGACTAGAACACAGTGGCCTCAGGTGGGGACGTCAGTGAAGAAAAAGAACAAATACTTTTCTGAAATGGTATTGGAGATTGTGATAAGAGCATGGGATTTAAGTAGCGAAGGTCTCAGAGGTGAAGATCCATGACATATCACATTTCGTAGAGCCAAAAGACTATCCAAATATGTGAATTTGCATAATAGCAATTGTATTATGTGGATAAATTATGGATAATTTTTCTTCCCTTTTTCCCATTTTCCAAATTGATGTGTTTGAAATACCTTTATAATGAGAAAATTAAAGACATAACTATGACAATCATGTTTATGAAATCTGAATAGTAATTAATAGAATCTCTTTACAGACGAGGGTATAATTTAATGACCCCAAATGACCTTTTACTCCTATTCTTCTTTTATTTAAGTGCAAAGACAGAATCTTCAGCTGAGACTCTGATAAATTTGAATTTCACTGTCATACATTTGGCACACTGAGATTTTCTTTGCCTTGAAAGTTATGGAGAATGTAACCATGACTAATTTAAATGACTTGCATTATACTGTTTAAAAGCCTATGTGTTTCAGTTCTTTCCAAGAAACCACATGTTTCCTATTATAAAAAGGGGTATACTTTAGAAAGGGAAAGGATTTAACAGAGCTGTTAAAGATAGATGTAACACAGACCCTTTTTAAAGCACTCTTTCCATAGAAAAATTTCTGGAAATACAAAGGAAACCAAAACAACCTCTAATTTCTCACCGAGAAAGGAATCATCAAGTCATGTACCAGGAGTCAAAACAGTCTTTGGTCAGAATACAAAACACGCTATCCTAGGACATGACATGATATCTCATCAAGACGACAGGAGACCCCTAAAGCCCTATAGGATGCATGCCACAGAAATGGACAAATTGGGAAATCAGAGTTTTTATGCAATCAGATGGATATATCATCCAGCCACAGAACTGTTGCTATTAACTACTAGCTAGACCACCTGAGCTGAAAATTTTGGCTCTCTTGACACAAAAACCTGTACGGTCCTAGGTAAGTTATGTAAGCTGTGTTTGTACCCTTTGAGGTAAGTTATTTGTGTCCTACTATTACCTGAGGCCTGATGGAGCAAGTAATTAATATGTGACAAGTTCAGAAGGTACTAATATGAATACATGCCTCCAGGAGCATGAGACACACAAACACTCATCTTAAAACGTGATCATGATGACATAAAAGTGTACATAGGACATTATGGATAATAAAAAAGAGATATCAGATAGGCCAAAATCAAAGCACGAAAGTCTTTTAGAGAAGGAAGCAGCTTGATGGTATCACTAGTGGGCAGAGGTTAGTTAGACAAAGGCAGTGGAAAAGGGTAAGGAGCTGCTTATGAGAGTTGATATTATCCACAGAAGGGTAGCTTTGGGTCTTCAAATGGGTAAGCCACATAGTGCATCTCACCATGTTTAGCATACCCTCACTAAGGGGTGTGCCAAAGGAATTGCATAGATGGAATTTGCTGGAACAGAGGTTAATATAAAAATATGGTTCAATGCAGGGCCTTAAATAGAAATGTAATTCTGAAGAATCAAAATGTATTTCATTCATGAGCTAGAAAAAAAATTGTAGATGATTTAATGATAGTGCCCAGATAATATGAAATCCATTGACATGATTACATTCAAATTAAGCTTTGAAAATATTTTAAAATGGTACTTTACTAGTTCACTAAGTATTTGCCTCTGTTCCATTAAGAGACAAAATGATGATCTGAGAATATAAAAGTATAACTATGTAAGTTATGAGTTTAATATCGGTATTATTATAAATGTATGTTTAAAACAGGCTCCCCAATTCTCTTAAATTTTTAAATAATATGACATTCCTAACAGCACAGTTTCTATGAATACTAAGAAAAAAGTGGCTTCTAACAAAAAACAAAGGATATTAGTTTAATAAAAAGTATAATAAGTCTCTGTGGTCAACTAAGACAGAATATTGTATAGCTATTAAAATGTTGCTTATGTGTTCCCACATCATGGTAGACCAAGACTTCTTTTGGGAAAAA